TCCATAATGTGAGTCAACACATGCTTGATTGACTCTTTTTCAAAAATTTCGACTAGGCTTGTCTTTGTGAGTATTTTTCCAACTTAAAATTGCATTTTTACTACTCAATTACGAGTCGGCTCACGAGCCGATGAGCGACTCACTTGATATTTGCATTTGTAATGTGAGCCAACGAACAACTCATTTTACTTAATACCTTTAGATTTGAGGGATCGGTGCACCCACATGCGAAAATGTTTTGAGAGTCGAGGTATTGACACAATAAGGCAATGTACTAGTTGTAGGTGTAGGAACTAATGCCTTGAAATCAGTCCGGTTATTGAATTGGAGAAAAAGAAGAGGAAAAGTTGAAGGGTTGATTTGGTTGAGTGGATAGCAAAAAAGTACAAGAAAATTAAAATTTTGAGGTTAAATAAGTTAGTTTACTGGTGAACCAGTTAATTGCATGGACGGGTCGACTCTTGACTTGTTTTAAACAATTTTATTTTTTCAAAATTTTTGGTATAAATCAGACCGATATGTTGGATGGATTGGATATCGGTCTGATTTGGTTCGATTTTCAAAACATTGGTATTAATCATATTAATGCTACCAAAAATTGTACCTAAATGAACTCGAATTGGATGATTGAGCTCTACACGATCCGATCTTTAATACCTAAAACAAAGGCGTTGAGGTGTGTCATCGTCGCCCCCTCCGATACTTAAGTCAGAGAGAGAAATTGCACAAAAGGATGTATGCTAGAATATTATGTAAGACGTACCTGAATAGTGAGGTTAAGTCTTGTATTTATAGGTGTTGGGGGTTGAGTCCTAAAGGGACTCAACTAACCGTGATACTTATCCTTGTTATACAAGGTGTTTGGGTTACAATCGAATTTGTAATAAATTGGGGGTTTGTGTTCAGATAGGATTAGCATTCTTAGGAAACGTGCGATAAGGTCAAGAAGACAGGTGAGTTAGGGCTAAGACCCGACCTTGTCCACCAACCCCGACCTCAATCCAAGACTCGACCTTGCCATCAACCTAATAATGATGGGCTAAGATCGGGCCCATAAGGTTGAGTTCGGGCATAACGACTCCTATACACATCATAGGCCACCGTGCATCTAGGTCGCAGCTAAAAGTTAAGTGCTCAAGCTGCGAGGTAAGATGCAATGAGGTGCAACAGCTAGAGATCGAACTTATCTCTTTGTTCAATGTGTAGCTCGAGCATTTTACTTGACCATTTTTTTTTACCAACGACCTCGAGCTCTTTGTTCAATGTGTAGCTTGAGCGTTTTACTTGACTATTTTTTGGCCAACAAGCTCGAGCTCTTTGTTCAATGTGCAGCTCGAACATTTTACTTGACCAGTTTTTGGACAACAAGCTCGAGCTCTTTGTTCATTGTGTAGCTCGAGCGTTTTTCATGACCAATTGTTTGGCCAACCAGCTCGAGCTCTTTGTTCAATGTACATCTTGAGTGTTTTTCTTGACCAATTTTTTAGCCAACTAGCTCGAGCTCTTTGTTCAATATGTAGCTCGAGCGTTTTACTTGACCAGTTTTTGGCCAACAAGCTCGAGCTCTTTATTTATTGTGTAGCTCGAGCATTTTTCTTGACCAATTGTTTGGCCAACAAGCTCGAGCTCTTTGTTCAATGTGTAGCTCGAGCGTTTTACTTGACTAGGTTTTAGCTAACAATCTCGAGCTTTTTGTTCATTGTGTAGCTCGAGCATTTTTCTTGACTAATTATTTGGCCAACATGCTCGAGCTATTTGTTCAATATACAGCTTGAGCGTTTTTCTTGACCAATTTTTTGGCCAACCAGCTCGACCTCTTTGTTCAATGTGCAGCTCAAGCATTTTACTCGAGCTATAATATTTTCAAGCTCCTGTAGGTGGAGTTCGAGCGTGCTTACTTTGTTCAATATGTAGCTTAGGCTTTTTTTTTACTCGAATCTACAGGCTTGTTTGCGGATGGTGAACACCAGCTCTACCTAGACCTAATTTGTTATTAAGAATTATTTAGGTCGGGCCATGAGGACCTCGAGCAGTAGAGTGGGTGTGCACATCGTCATGCTAGGTAGGTTTATTAGCTGCATGCGTGAAGTACGATCTTATGCTAACTAGATGTATTAGCTGCATGCGCATAACACAACTTTACGCTAAGTATAAGTATTAGCTACATGCACGGAGCACGACCTTATGCTAAGTATAAGTATTAGCTGCATGCGCGGAGTTCGACCTTACACTAATTAAATGTAAACGCTAAATAGAATTGTTAGAGGATAGTTTTTAATGTCTTATAAAATAACGTAAAGGTACATGGGCGTGTAGGCCTTGAAAGGAAAACAACGTAGGGGCATGTAAGCTCGAGCTAAAAACTACCAAAAGAATTTAAACCTAACATAATGCAAATTGGAAAAAGAAAAAAAAAACTAAGTAACCTAGATACCTGGGGCATAGCCGACTATTTTCCGGCCGTGGTTGTAGTATCAAGATCTCAACCAATAGTAACTTTTCTACTAGGCTCGAGCTCGACCTCTGCCACCTCCTCCACTGGGGCAAGTCTCATGCGATGCTCAAGGTCAAGCTTGAGCTCCGTGAGTTGCATAACGTCAGCTTTTATTACCCGAACGCTGGTAACATAGCATTGTCTAGCTATTGTTTGACTTCTTTGAACTACTTCGACCTCATTATTTGTAGGAAATTTCATTGCCAGGTGAAAAGTTAAGACAATTGCCTTGATCTTATTCAGCAAGGGCTTTCCAAGTATGGCGTTGTAGGACATAGGAGCTCGAACTACTTGAAAAGTTGTGATATGTGTTACCTGCCTCCGT